CCCCCCCCCCCCCACACACACACACAGAGACAGAGAAACCCATTTCTCACCCATTGCACACACCTCTCTCTCTCTCTCTTTCCTTCAGTGTGCACATCGATGGCACCATGAGCAAGATGTGTATGTCGCCGCGGGTCTTCATGCCGTCCTTCTGGGTCTTGGTCGCACCACCAACCTGACACACACACACACGACACATACAGAGGAGCGGGATTGCGAGCGGTGTTCGTGTGTGTCTGTGTGTGTCTACGAGCAGCAGCAGGAGGGCTCGCTTGACATCCTCATGGCCGTAGATCTCCGGGGCGATGGACTGCGACAACTGCACAAACAGGGGGAGCCAAAGAGAAGCCTCACCCCCCTCCCCCCTCTCTCTCTGTGTGTGTCTGTGTGTTGACCCGTTCCAACATGTCCACGCCGCTGCGGCGATCGGCATCCAAACTGCATGCCACACACACAAGGAAGGGAAGCAAACAGACGGCCGTGCAGGGATGTCTGTGTGTGGTGTGTGTCGTTGGCTGACCGTCTGAGGTCATCTTGCGACATGACGTCCTTGTCCTCGTAGCCCTTCTTGTGTTTGTTGATGTAGTGGACCTCCAAGTAGCAATCCTGACACACACACACACACACATGTGGATGGATGGATGGATGGCTCGGTGAGTGTGTTGGCTCACTTACCGAGACCATCCCCTCGACTAGCCCCTGGTAGCCCGTCTTGCGCTCAGGCATGTAGATCCCAGCTACTGTCGCGCAGTCGCCTGCACACCACACCCACCCCACCCCACCCCACCAGACCCCACCACAGCACACAAGTCAACACCCCCATGCCGCACATCCATCCATCCATCCATTCCCACGTCTGCACATCACATACCCGGCATGAGTTTGCGCGTGTTGTGCCCCTCCAGCACACAGGTCATGGACCGCGGCACGTTGCCCTCGGGCACCTGCCAAGCGGGCTCCTGCACACGGATCTGCTGAAACGACGAAAACTTCGAGAAACTGACACATGTCACGTTAAGACGACACACACAAAGGGTATGGGGGTGTGTGTGGGGGGGGGTAAAGGGGTGTGTGGGTACCCACCGGGCGTCTAGGGCCATCTGTCCTTGGTTCTTCCTGGCCTTGCGGCACCGCTCCGTCCCACACTTGGTCACCGGCATGAACTGTAGACCCTCCGACACCTACACCACACACACACACACACACACAACGACGCAGAGTGAGGGAGGTGGGGCGTGCTCTTGGTCGGCATGCACCCCCCGCCACCCACCCACCCCCACTCACCACTTGGCACGACTCAGCCCCGCAGGTTTGGCAGACGTACGCGGCGACCACCGTCTTGGGCTTCACGCTGTCCACCTTGGTCACCGTACCCTGAATGAACAAACAAACGACCAAACACACAGAACACAGCGAAAGTGATGAATCGGTTTGTGAATGTGTGTGGGTGTGGGTGTGGGCTCCGTGGGCTAGATCTCACGTCGAGCTTGACGAAGGAGCCGACGCACTGCGACCGAACCTCTGCTCACAGAACACACATATACACACAGACAGAGACACACAGAGAAGGACAGAGAGGGGGGGAGGGGCTGTTTCGGTGGATTCGTATGTGTGGCTGTGGTGGGGAAGTTCTTTACGTCTGAGGTCGAGTGTTTCGACTTTCTTGGCGAGCTCTGAGTCGGGCGACATGGGAGGCACCAGGTGAACCTCACTGCACACACACACACACACACACACACACACAGGGATATGTGTGCCCCTCTGGTCTATGCTGTGTGGGTGTCTTCTCTGCTGTACTATGTGCGGAATATCTCCGGTGGGTACGATGCCACTGCCGCCTCGGCGTCCATGCCGTCCTCTATGGCTTTTTTGATCTCCCTCTTGCTGCAGAACACATAATACATAGACAAAGGGGGGGGAACGTGCCAACGTGCCAATAGTGACCGCACTCACCGCCAGAAGTTGCGGAGGTCCTGTGCCGTGGGGTACTGCACACACAACACACACACACACACACACACAGGGCCATGCATCCAGACATCATACGACCGACACATACGCCCTCCCCGTGGCCATCTCTCCCGCCCTTTCTCTGTGTGTCGCGTGTGTGTAATGTGGTGTGGAAGCCGCCACACCTGAGGAAGGAGTATCTCTTCCTCCATCTTCATTTGCTCGAGCTCCTCGTCGACGGCCTGGTAGATGAGGCTGAGGTTGCGCTTGGTGTTCTGCAGCAGCTGCTCCAGGAACGCACTCTCGCCATCACCCTGCTCGTACTGACGACAAATGCCACACACACACACATACGTATACACATCCGGGATGCGTTCATTGATCGATGGATGGGCGGATGGTGTCGTCTTCTTCTTTGTACCTTTTCATAGTCGTCTAGGAAGAACTGCAGCACCTTGGACTCGCCATCTATGATCCCTTGCTGCACCCACAGATGCGTCCCACAGACAGATGCATCCATCCCCCGACCCATTGCCCATTGCAATGCATCCATGAACTCAACGCATCCTCCAGCGAGTGCATTTTTGCTGCATTGCCTTCTCCTCTCACCATCTGGGCGCGGTATTTCTTCCTATCGTGGACGCGGTGGCGGCGGTAGTCGGGCTCGGTTGTCTCATAGGTCCGCAGGAAGTCCTTGAGTTTCTCCTTGTGCTCGCCGTACTTCCCATACGTCACCGACAGCCTGTCGCGGTAACGCAACACAGGCAGGTGCGTCGCCATCTATCCCCAACCCACACCAACAACGCCAACGCACCCCGAGGGCTAAGAATGCATCATATACACAGCACCGCGTCGCCCTCTGTAAATCCACTCGTGCGAGCTTTTGTTGCGCAATAATGGACGCAGAGGAGATAGATCTGCAGCGTGAGGAGGGCGAGGAGGAGGAGGATGGCCAGCCCGCCGAGGAGCTGCACGGCGAGCGCGCCAAGGAGGCCAAGCAGCTGGACGCCCTGACGTCCGTCGAGAGGGAGGAGGACGAGACCGGGGCGAGACCCATCGACAGCCAGGAGGCGCAGCAGTTCCTCACAAACCTCCAGAAACTCGAAACCGACGAGGAACTCAAAAAGAAGGCCAGGTGAGTCAGTCAGTCTACCAACGAGAGAGAGAGAGGAACCGGCACGGCAGACCACCACGGAATACATCCCTCTGTGCTGCTTGATGCGTGTGTGTCACCATGTAGGGAGCGTGAGCTGGCCAAGGTGAAGCTGCGGCGGGAGGACGTTGAGCTCATCTGTCGCGAGATGGAGGTCGACAAGGAGGTGTCGGAGCGGGTGCTCAGGCAGCACCACGGCGATGTCATCGCCGCCCTCCGTTTCCTCGTCAGCGACTTCCCCGACTTGGCTGCAGCCAAGATGCAGGCGGCAAGATGCCTCGCGCAGGCCAATGCGTGACTGACGGTGTGTGTGTGGTTGCGTCTGACACCTGTCTTCCGGTGTTTTGTTCGGATCGAAGTAGACAGGGTCCCTTGCAGCAACGGGACGGTTTGCTGCTGAGGCGCCTTCGCCACTCCGGCACGAACACACCGGGAGGCACTCTGAGACGCACCGGTGTGAGTAGAATGGCTGTTGATTGATTGATTGGACACACTGGACCTTCGCTGTTGTGTTTTTCGTGTGAAGGGCCTTATGGCTCGATGCTCATACCACATGTAATCACATCCCACACGCCCACATCTACCACCGATTGTCTTGTCCATGCACGTCTTACGACACACGTCACACGGCTGACCAGAAGCCACTCAAAACTAACTGTCTGCAGCACCTATCACATCAGCCAATACCAAGTCAGCTCTCATCTGTTCTGTTCACGCATACGAGTCCTCTTCCTCCGGCAGCATAAGGTCGGTGACGGCCTCCAGCTGCCCCTCCTTGAAGTGCTGCTGCCAGTGTGCCGCCTTCAGGCCCTTGACGTGGGCAGACCTGAAGGCCATCAGCACATAGAGGGCGATGTCGCGTCCCACTGCAGGGTCAATCTCGACACGGACGTCACTGCACAAACACAAACACACAACTGAATGAGCGCTGAGTAAAGAGTTGATATGGCATTTTTGTCTCATCTTACTAGGTCTCTTTGATCAATGGGTCGTCCAGTGTGATGTAGAGCCTCCGAGAGTCCTTCGCGGGCCGGAAGCGGAACAAATTGACGGCATAGACCCGATGGCTGATGACCTCCTTGCCTTGTTCACCCTCAGCAGCCGGCGGCTCGTCAGCAGCCTTCTTTCCCTTCTTGGTCGCGCCTTTCTTCTTGTCGGCCTTGGCGTTTTTCCTGACTCTTTTGGCCTTGTCGTCCCCACCGGAGCCGAAGAGGCTGAACCCAAGGGCCGAAAAGTCGAAGCCGCTCCATGCCGTGCCTGTCGTGTCTCGGCCTTTGTCGGCCTTCTCCTTTTCGCTAACGACAGATGCCCACAAGAGGGTCAGCTCACCTGAGATGGAGAGAATCGATGCCTGATGTATTCGTGTCCTCTTCAGGCAGCGACACACCTTTTGCCAGGTCTGTAATTACTGTCCCGGGGTATTTCAACTGGACGGACAACCCACGGCCGTCGTCGCTTTTGTTAGGTCTGGGTGCTGGCCAGCGTACCTTGGCATCTGCAGACGAGGCCTCGCTTTCATCCGTCTTTTCATCGGCCTCGGACTCGTGCTGCTTCGGCCCTTGGGAGCTCCGTCTTCTCCCTGCCCTTTTGCCGCCACTCTTGGAGGTCTTGCTCTTGCTGCCGCTCTGCTGATCGGTTGCCGCATCGTCAACATTTTCCTTGAGAGCCACAGAAAGAGTGGTACCTGCTGTTCCTGCTATTTTTTTGTCCCTTACTGGTATCCTTTCCACCTCTCCCCTGAATCGCACAGCACAGCTGCACGCACGTCGGAGGCACACCATCCATAGCGATGAGGGCATGAATCCTCAGCGATTCATTCCTGACCTGAAGCCTCCCTTGGCGAGTGCCTTGAGCGCCACGTACGCCCACGAATCGGCGAGACCTATGGGGCTGCCCAATCAGCACAATCACGATGCCGCACTCTGTTATCGGCAGCAGGCATGCTTACCCACCCGGCGACGGAAGTCGACATGACGTCCTAGGGTGGGAGACATGGCAGTGTGGGAAGCCGACCAACTGCACTGCGTGTCATTCTTTTCGTCTCACCACAAAGCGTCTCCCTTTCGTTTCGGTGGTGTGGGGTGTGGAGTGACGCACATGCGTATCGAATGTTCCACCCTCTCTGTGACGCGCAAACGTCGATGCCATCTGGAATGGCAAACAGACACAACGAGGAAGAGATGCTTGTAATTGGGGAGACACACAGAGCGGCCGGAGTTCTCACCTGGTCCTCAACCCTTCTGGTTGCCTTGACTTGCACGTATCGCGAGAAGCTGTGCGTTGGCAGGATAAAGTGGGGCTTGTAGGACATGGGGATGGGGGGGAAGATGGGCGGCTGTCGGCTGTCATTGGAGATGCTCCTGGGTGAGAGACGCCTGCTCTAAATGACGGGCAGCGTGATGGTTGGCTGTCTATCGTACCACTCGACGTGATGGACGGGGAACTCTTTCTTCCACTCAGACAGGTCGACGAAGGTCACCTCAGTGCCAACCGTTATGTCACCTGAGAACCAGAGAAAAGGCCGAGATACCGCCACTCATTTGGCTCAATCGTTCGTGCCTCCCGCGCTGTACCTTCAACAGTGATTGGATGCGTCATGGGGTCATCGATCTTCGGTGGCGGCCTCACAGCTTCCTGCAGTGACAGCCGGGCATACATTAGGGACCATGAGGCAGCGGCGGCTGGTACCATGACGACTTCATGTCGATAGAGAGCGATATCCTCATCGAACATGAAGTCATCGAACTCCAACTCGCCTGGAAAGACGAGAGAACCTGACTGCAGTCGCCATCCCTGTCCCCCATCCACCCTCTCTCACGTTCCGAAGCGGGCGGGGTCGGAGGCTTCTTGAGGTCAAGCTGCAAAGAACAAGATCCAAATGGGCTCCTCTCTCTCTAAAAAAACATGGCGGTTGGCCTGTCGATGACTGACCTTCTCCACAGGAAGTTGCTCCTCGGCCTCTTCAGCAGCCAGGCCGAGGTCGGCCTCGGGCACATAAACCTCCCTCTTGCGGAGCCGTTTCTTGGGCTCCTCATAGATACGCCGAATGTGGTCCTTGACATCTACCAGACACATGTACTGAAGAAACAACATACCGTCGTCAGACCGAATGTCGCAACGCACTGACTCCTTGGCCAACCTTATCCCTTCTCGGCCTTTCTTCCTCTTCACCAGCCTGTACGTAACGAAGGGAAATAGCATCACTGACTCATCAGAATGCAGGGATGTCCTTTCTGCGTATACCTCCCTGACTGACAGGTGGCCTGGCACGTCCACTGCGTACTCGCATCGTGGAGACTGGCTGCTCCCAGTAGATGCCATGAGGTGTTTTCCCCCTCTTCGCCCCCAGTCTGCATATCATCTGAATTTGCAGACGGCCAGCTTGGGGGTCGAGAATTTGAGACGTTTAGAAGCCTAAAAACGCAGCCACAATGCAGCCAAATTACCTGCGACGTTCATGACTCGACTTATGGTGATGAGTCGTCTACCAGTGTGGGCAACGTGCAAGTTGAAGGGACACAAGAGCTGAACACAACTGGTGATGCAAAGTGCCCATCCCCAACTCGGTCTGCTCGTCCACTCACGCGTGCCCCCCTCCCTCCGCCCCTTCCTCTCAGCAGCCCGCTTGAGCGCGTTCGAGAAGACCAATGACGAGGGTGTCGCGACAGGAGGCGTCCGGCCGATTGCCATGGGAGAGACGATCCGTCGCTGGGATCTCCGAATACTGTCTGGTGTGCATGGAGGAATATCCAAAGGACACGTGGGTGCAGTGCCCGCATTGCAATGCACGATCCTGCGCGTGGCAGCTGAAGCGGCAACCTGTCGATTCAGCAGTGGAGGGAGAACATGAACTAGGCTGGTCGACCGCTTCCAGCAGCTTGGGCGTTCACGGCAGACCAGCCACGGCGCCATGGCAGCCCATCCGTTTCTGGTCACAACTACGTCAAGTGGATGCCGGGCATGAAGGTCACCCCGTCCATCATCAGGAGGATGAGCCCACAGGACCAACAGCGGTGGCGAGAGTCGGACGTTGCTGAGGTCGACAAACTCGAGCAGTACGAGACCTACGTTTGGCGCAAGAGACGTGACGTCCCTAGGGGCGCGCAGAAGGACGACCAAGGCAGACGGGCGGCAGAAGACACGGCTTGTCATCAACGGCGCATCCTCGCTCAGCAGATTGCTGCGCAGCTCCCTGCCGACGGGCAGAAGCTGGCGGGCATGAAAGCCGTCATCAAGCAGCTCGTGACGCAACTCGGCGTTTCAAGCACTTTCTGCCAACTTCGACGATACCATCAGGATCGTCACGGCGGCCGTGGTGGTGGGTCATGATATGCTCTGCAAACGAGTGCCGACATCGTCTGAGACACCGTGGCAGACGTCCAGGAGACACTGGCTGACTCGATGCGCGACCTGCACAGCATCGTCAATCACCTCGACCACAAGCACGAGCAGCTGCTGGTCGGAGTATGCCGAGCAGTCGCCAATATAACCACGAAAGCCACCGCCAGACCGGCCCCGCAGGACCCGTGGACGTCTGCCCGACCATGAGCGAGGCTCCCTCATTCGACTGAACATGGTGGACATCAGCCAGCAAGTCCAGCAAGGATATACACTCAGTCTTTCACGGCAGCATTGCTGGGCTCGATTCAGTCCGTCTACTGCCCCCGTAGCTGTGCAGAAGACAAAAGTGCGCTCACTTGTAGACGAGTTCGTGAATCCCTTTCAGTTCTCTCCCTTGACGTAAGCAAGGAAGTTCGTTTTCGTCAAAGCGGACACCCATGGACCTGTCTGTATGCTTGCAGGGGAGTGTCGCGGGTGTGTCTGGGAGGAGACATTCACGCCTCCATCACCACCACTCAACTTCATCCCTCAGCCACCCTCGACCCCCTCGTCTCTTTCTCAGGGACACCAGCTGGAGCCGGTCGTCGCCGAAGTTCCTCGATTATCTGCAAGGTGAGGAGTAGAAAGAAAGCCAGTAAGACGCTCGTCCGGTCTATCTTGCAGAGCGAGAGTTGACGGCTATAGATGGGGACGGCACGACCGCCGTTTCGTGCGGACGAACAACGCTGGCCGCGGCGACTGTTTGTTTATTGCAGCAGCTCAGGCCCTGAATCTCGTCCCCCGCGAGGAGGTCATCGACATGAATGTCGTGCATGACTTCCGTCGCAACACTGTTGCAGCCGTCAACGAGCTCTGGTGCGAAAACTTGTGTCTCCATGTCTCCTGCTTGTGTTTGTTTGTGTCTCGAAATTTGTATTAATGTGTGTTGCCTGCGTGTATGTACAGGCCATATCAGTTTGCGTTGCCCAAGAGTTTTCGCTGTTCTCGCTGTTCTCGTTCGTTACTTTTCCTGAGATCGTCGCCATCAACATTGTGTGTCAATATATCCAACATCGACAGCGAGAGGGCCGACGCGCACCGGTTCGCTCAGCTCCGCAGCGCACTCCTGGCGTGCTCGGCCGCACACTGTCACACGCACATGTGGGAAGAAAGCATAGTGGCAGCTATTCGGCAGGCGAGCGGCCTCTGAGCAGGCGGCCGCTTCTCCATCACTTTGGACCACGGAATGGTCCGCCGGCTGGCCCAAGTCGCCCCTACCAGGCCCAACACGCCGCCGGCCGTCCTGGCTCCTCCCATCAACCCACTGCGGACTCTCGCGGCTCGCCCTCGCCCCATAACCCCACCAGCGTTCCAGCAGCACACCACGGCAAGCGCGGCGCCAACAGAAGGAATCGTTTCAGCCGGACAATGCGCAAACTGCAGGACACGGCAAACGGCGCAATACCACAAGCACAGCGTCCGCAACTGCCCCAACCCGTGCATGATTATATGCAAATTCTGCGGGAACACTTCCATTATGACTGTCCGAGAAACCCAAACAGCGACGCAAACCGCGATAAACAGTGAGCCAGCCGGACAGGGCAACACACAGCTGGGGTCCATAGCCACACCCAAAACTCACCCCCTCCCCAATACCAAGGAGCCCCAATACCAAGGAGTTGTTGTGTGTCGCCCTTTCAGAAGACGAGGCAGTATAGTTTGAAAGAGCGGAAAGGCAATCTCGCGTCGGACACAGACATGAACTTTCTGGCGTGAGCGTAAGGAGGGTATCTTGGATGTCTAGGGTTTGTGTATCTGTTGGTTGGCATTTGTTTGCTCGCAGCATCACAACGGTATCCGGCCAGGTGATCTCTGTGCAGTCCGAGGGCACCCAGGACCTGAACATTCTGATGAACTACACAAGACTGGAACACAGCCGGCTGATGCTGTCTGATGATTGCATCCTCTGTGTACCGAAGATCTCCAGACACATGAAGGACGAGTAAGAATGCACATACATATACACGCGAGGTCTGTCACGGCTTGGATTGAATTGGCTCTTTGCAGTACACCGGTAGACGTACCGGTAGTGGAGACAAAATATCCCCTTATTCCCGTGAGGCTCCAGAGCCCTCTGTGCATACAGCAGCCCTTCACCGTCGAGGCCATGCAGATGTCGGTGTTTCGCGCGCAACGAATACATCTGAAAGCGATTGAGGTAATGTCGATCGATTTGGAGTCCTAGCGAGTAACGGCCTGTCTCTTTGATGGCCAATTTGTGCTTCAGATTGAGCCCACTTGTACTGGACATGCATGCGATGGGCGTACGTATAAGGCGATCAAGAACATAGCGGACCGGGGTGTCGCGCATGCCCTGTGCTTCTCACTCAGGTATGCACCCTCGTGCTTCTCACTCGGGTGAGCGTCGGCATACTTCTCCCTCTCGGGCGAGCGTCGGTGTCCACCCCAACCCTCCGTCCAGCACGTCTTATCGGTGAGGACGATGAGAATGGACAGCCGGTGCAGCCCTCGAGAGGTCAGACTCAACAGCCCCACACTGATGCACTTGCTGTCACTTCTCCATTTCCCTGCTCTCTGCGTGTGTCTGTGTGTGTCTCTGTGTGTGTGTCTCTGTGTGTGTTACTTGTGTGTGTTTGTATGTTTGTGTTCAGAGGGCGGCGACCCCATAGCCATCCAGGAGATCCCCGACGAAAGTAAGCGAATGCGTTTGGGGTGTGATAGTGCATCCAGTGCTGTTGTCTGGTTCCCTCTTCAGCGAGGCAGGGACCTCTGACCTCGTTTGTGGCCCCCTGCTCATCCGCCACACGGCGTCCAGAACCATTCGCGAGAGAGTCGACCGCTTCCTCAACACAGCTGAGTACGACCGGCGAAACGAATACGAGCTGGTGGGGTTTCTCTACTCCAAGGAGCAGATCATTGACGAAATAGATGAGCGGCAAGCCCCAAGAACAAGCGCAAGAGGTGGGTTGATTTGGTTGACGAGAGACACGGCTCTGATGCTACTAAAGGGCCGAGTCGGCTTACAGCATGCGGCACTGCCCCGACGGCATAGCGTTGTTTGGCTTTGAGAATTTCTGTCCTGCGAAGAACGTGCCGTATGACATCTTGCATCACTGGGGGCAAGGAGTCTGTCTATACATTATCAAGCCCTCGACTGGCGGCAAGGAGTCTGTACATCTTCAACTCCCAAGTCGAGGGCGGAAGTGGTACATGAAGGAGGTCGAGCACACAGTCAGGAACTGCCCCCTTCCGTGCCACATCACATGCAAGTTCTGCGGTTTGAAACGCTTTCATCACGAGTGTCCGAGGAACCCGAACAGTGACGCCAATTGCGACGCCTAACAGCATGGTGCCCGACCGCATCGCTGGCGTAACTCTGACCCCGACCGACGGCGGCCAGCAAGAGGCATTCCGTGTCGAGGTCAGTCAGTTGGGGAGCTGACGGGTCGGCCGGCAGGGCCTCATTCTCTGTCTGTCTGCTTGTATGTATGTATGCGTGGTGCAGTTGGTCTTACTGTCGCCAACCCCCCTCGTGTCTCGTACTGGGAGCGGCCTATGGATATTGACGAGAAGTACACCACCCACAAATACCCCGTCAGGCGCCGTGCCAACCACCGGCGGCGCCTATGAGTGGGTGCGGTGCCCACCAACACGAGATGCTACAACACTAGCTTCGCCTTCGGTGGTCAGGGCCACTTGGTGTCACTACCCAATTCCCTTCTGGTCCCACAGTTCCGAGTCACCCCTACCTCAACAAACTGCAGCCAAACTACGGCGGCAGCCAGCTCAGCAGTGCGTTCGGCAGGCAAGGAAGGCGGCCACACTTTCTCAGCCATTTGCCCTCTGGATCACTGACAGAGTGAGCCGACGGGTAGGAGGTGGTACAAATGGACATCCACTTTAGCATCCATCTTCAAAGAGACCGACGATTCATTCTTTTCCCATGTGCTAGCACTTTTTCTCCGCACGGACGTCCATGGTTGAATGTCAAGGCGTGACATGTTCGTGTAGAGAGAGACGTCACTGATATCATCATCACTGACATTCAAGTGACAAATATGAGCAGTGTCTCCGTCAATGTACTCTCTGTCTGTATCGCCCGCACCACAAAGGCTCATGAAGATACAGACAGAGCACACAATAATTGCAACCAGGTCACAGAAAAACACACATCACATCATGCGATTTCAGCACAGCCACATCCATACTCAGCACCGACCAGCAGCAACTCAACAAATGTCACCGAGCTGCATATTGTCTCTGATGCCCCCTCTTCCTCTCCCTAAAGTGGTGCCTCGTCTGCCACGGAGGCGCATGATGGACCTGCCTCTCCGTCGTGCTGATCGGGACATCGCTTTGGAAGGCGTCAAGGCGCAGTCGCAGAGGCTGCGGGTCAAAAAAGGCCGCCAGAAAGATGCTGAGAAGGCTGCACATGCCGATGCAGAATGTCACGCCCGCCAAGCCGGCAGGGTGGTAGGTATATGCCAAGAGGGAGGCCACCAGTAGGGAGCTGGCAACGCGGGCTGTGTAGATGAGCCCGTAGTTGGGACCGAAGTGTTGCGCCCCAAACGTGTGAGCAGTCGCCTGCAGGAATGACAGCGACACACCACACCACACCACTTGGCTGCCGATATGCATGCCTGCTGCCTCCCTGCATTGGTGTGTGTCTGCACGCACCGCAGGGAACATGGCAAAGTTGCCTGCACTCACCAGAAACGATAGACACAACGACAGGAGCGAATGGGTGGATGGTGACTGACTGTTCCTTCGTCTGTGTGGTGTGTGTCCGTGTTTGCTGATTACTGATTGATTGCCTGACCTCCGACACAGAAGTAGAGTGCGAACAGCCAGACGAAGAAGGGCACCACACCCCACCTGGCCGCCCAACGGATGCTCAGCCCAAAGACACACACAATCAGCGCCAATGCCATCTGCACACACATCCATCCATCCATCCATTCCCCCATATGTGTGTGCTCTTGTCGCCCTATATACCACGCAGAACTTGAAGGTGAATTGGTCCGTGAGGTAGCCCCACCCCACCCGCCCCAGGCAATTCGCGATGGCCGCCGTCGTGCTCCCCATGTAGGCCAACGTGTGGTCGCTCAAACGACCCTCGGAGTGACCCAACACCTAACACACACACACACACACACACACACACACAAGCAAGGCAGACACAGGTGCACCATAAGCACCGCCCACATACTGATCCTGTCTGGTTACATACCTTCCAGAAAGTGGCCAGGAAGGACACCACATGTGAGTTGAGGAAAAAGAGCGCCCACAGGAGCCAGAACTGCGGCGTGGTCAGTGCCTCACTCGGCGACAGCTGCGGGTCGACCACACGGTGCAGCATGTGCGCCTCGGACGACTCATCCGCCTCAGTTGACACACGCTGATCGAGGTAAGACACACAAATGGAGAGGAGGGGAGGTGGTACACATTCCGTGTGGTGGAGGAGTGGGTGCTACCTTGCGATGGCTGTAGGGGGGTGGGGACGGCTCTGGCGGGTCGATCAGAAGACACGCACCAATAAACTGGATCACACCGTAGACCAAACCACTGACAGCCGACACACAGGCATACGCAACATACGTGACGAGAATCCTCATTACGGTGTGCTATGTGTCTGGCCTGACCTCCAGAAGAACAGCTTGGGCAGCCTGTCGAGCACCTGAGGGTCGTCAAAGTACCTCTCCTCGGGATGCGCGGCATAGGGCGCCACATCCGGACGAACATTGTCAGGATTCACATACCACGTCTGTCACACAACAGCCAGCCCCACAGCACAGACAATCCATAGCGATCCTCTCCCCATCCCACACACCCAACGCACCTATTCACCTGTATCGGCCCCAACACGAGAGCACTCAGCCCCACGCCGGACAGAATGACCCCGCTGGCCAGGCCCCTCCTCTTGGGCATCCACCGGAAGGCGCATGCAAGTGGGCATGGGAAGGCGATGCCGTTGGCGAGGCCGAACTGGATGCCGTAAGTGAGGAGAAACAGGGGGTACGACCGCACTGTCCATGCCGACAGCAGGACGCCACTCGACATGAGGAAGCCGCCCAGCAGCGCACCCCATCTGCAGAGTGGGAGGGAGGGAGGGAGGGAGGGAAGGAAGACCACAACGAGGGTGAGGTGAGATTGTGTGAGATTGTGTGGTGTTGGCTGGTGTCACCTTGGTCCGATTGTCTGCTCCAGTTTGCCGCCGAACGGAATCATCAGACCGCCCCCAATCACGGCTGCACAACACACACACACACACACACATGCGAATGCACAGCAGGCACACGAAATGAACGAATCAATCAGTCGGTCGCGCCTCGCCTCCTTCGCCTCGCCTCGCCTCACCAGAAGTGGTGATCCATGCGGTGTCTTTGTATCTGATGGGGATGTGGCTCTTGTGCCGCATGTAGGAGGTGATGTACAGATTGAGGTTGCCGAAGGTGTACATGCTACCCATCGTCAAGTTGAAGATCAGACCCCCCGCAAGCTGACATGGCAGACAACGCACACGCCACACGACACAGACACACACATGGATGGATGGCTATGGAATGCGGAGGAAGATCAGCAGCATCGCGGCTCACCACAGCGACTGTTTTCCACCTCGGCGGTTCGCCCTCGCCCTTCGTCCGGGATGATGAGTTGTGCCGCGCCATTGGCTGAGTGGGCTGGCCCTTCTCACAGAGAGCGGATGCTGCTGCTGCGTCTTGTCCACTTCATTGACAGAGCAGACAGGCAGGCTTCAATCAATCAGCGAGATCCTCACTCACAAGATCTTCGCCGCTGCAAAAGAGGCGGAAAAGAAAAGAAGAGCACAACTGAAGGATCTGCGAGCTAAGTTGTGGAGATGTGGATCGGACTCATTCCCCATCGTTCAGTGGGTTTCAGTGCAAGCCATACAGGTACAAGCCCGCACACCCATCTCGGTGTGTGTGTCAATCAATGTACAAGAGCACAGCCCCCCGCCAAACAGCCCTTAACCAACCGCAGGACTAGCTGCTACTGACCACTCCACAGGCAGGGAGGGAGGCCCCTACACAGTCTCTCCAATGACCGGCCTGTCTGTCTGTCTGTCTGTCTGTGTGTTCGTGTGGGGTATATATTTCATGAGGTGACATCCTCGACTCTGTTGCTGGTCGGCCTGACTCGGTAGCACCGCACCTTGTACGACCGCTCCATGTAGTTCTCCTCTGCTATCTCGGCAGCTATCGCCTTGTTCCTGCACACAGCACACAATCACACACAGACACGATGAGTCTCATACACACACACACACAGACAGAGTGTTCAGACCTTTCGGGGACATATGAGGCGACGGAGAGCTTGTGCAGCCAGTGCCTGGGGTCCCGCTTGCCCGGCCCCTGCAGCCCGACGAGCAGCTCCTTCAGCCTGGCCTCATCGGCCGGCTCAGACAGGTCCGACGGACGGATGCCCAGCATGGTACCCTGCACACACACACACACACACAGACAGACAGACATGGGAGCAGCTGAGCGTGTGTGTGAGTATGTGTGTGTGTGGGGCGGTGGGGGTGGGGTGCGTACGTCGTCGTCTAGAATGACGACCACCAGTTCGGTGCCGCTGGGGTCCTTCACTCTCACAATCATGTACCACCTGAAGGACACACACATCCACACACAGGCACACAGATCTCCCGTGTCTGCCGTGTGTGCCGTGAGTGAGTGAGTGAGTGGGTGCCTTCGACACCTCACGTACAGGTATCTGACGTCCGAGTGGCCGCACTTGAGCACCACGGGGCCCTCACCACCCGACTCGACAGACGGGCCGCCAAGACGGGGCGACCTCTGATTCACGCAAACACAACGGTTGGGCTGGCTGCTGGGCTGTGCTGTGGGTGTGTGGGAGCGTACCCGGGCCGCCGTAGTGAGGGGGTAGCTGACGAGAGGGGGGGGGGATGGGAGAGAGAGAGTGTGTGCTGGATATGTGTGTGTGTTGGGGG